GTAGATTTTTAACTATTGATTCTATTAGCAAATTATCATAGGCTTATTACTATTTTCTATTTTTCTGTATTAAGATTTGTAGGAATATTATATAGGAGGTTACCCAACTACATAAACATTTTTAAAGTTGCTCTGATGATGATGATGAAGATGACAATGATCATGATGGTGATTATGATGGTGATGATCAAACCCTAAGACCCCAGCACCTTAAGCAAGCACTCTACCTCTGAACCACATCCCCACCCACCATTGTTTCTTATGTCTACTATGTCTCTTCACATATTCTTTTTACATCTCCAACCTTATGGATTTGTGTTTTTATATTTTTCCCAAGCAGTACTCCCAGAATTGTTTTAGCTTTTTCAGAGAAACTACTTTCAACATTGTTCATCCTTTCCATTTATATTTGGGATTATTCTTTTTAATATTTTTTATTTTTGCTTCATTCTTTATTATTTCTTTTTGATTTTTTCTTACATTTATTACTTGACTTTGTTTTTAAGGCTTAAATTAGATGCTCATTAACTCTTTAATTGCTTCATTCTTTTATAATACAAGCATGTTTTCACATAATATTTCTTCAAAATACTCTTTCAGCTCCAGCTAAAAATTTTATAATGTAGCAATTTTACTTTCATTCTCTCCTAAAATTTAAAAGGTTTCCTTATTATTATTTTAACATTTATTTTTAAGTCTACAAAATTTGGTATTTTAATTTTTTTCTTGATTTTTTCTATATTTAAAACTAAATTGTCTATGATCAAAGGTGGTGATCTATATATATAGTGCCACTGCTGTTCATGAACTTAATTTGTTCTATGATTTTTGGAAAAGATAATTATATTTGTGTTTGTATGGAAAAGATAGTCATAATCATGTTTGTCACCAGATGCAGAGTTTGTAAAGAAAAATAAAATTTTGTCAAATTGTTTGCAAACAAAAGCATTCATGAACCAAAGTACCACTGTATTTAGTCTCCATGATTTCCTTTAGAATCTAACAAACTGCTAATTTTTAAAATATTCATTTCAAAATGAAGAATTTTCAATTGTGTAATAACATGCATCTATATACATCAGTTGATCAAACCTATTGATTTTATTGACCAAATCCTATTTATCCTTAATATTGTTCCACATGTTTGATAAAAATTACATTGTATGAATTTTTCCTAAGTATTTGAAGCTTTGCTTTACAAATATTAGGACCATTTTACTAGATATATGCAAATTTAAAGTTATTATATTTTACTGATCTACTTTTATTAATTTTCTAGCATCTCTTTTATATATGACAAAACTTTTACATTAAGTCTGATACATATTTATATTTTTGTCCTTGGTGGTTAGTTAGGCTAAGTTATACTGTGGAAATAAATATACACAACTTCTTAGTGACTTTAGCACAATAAAATGTATCTCTCTTTCATTTTAGATCTGATGTACATACGTGGTACAGATGTCCTAGGAGGCTCACTTCCAAGTGGAATTCAAGTCTTCTTGAGATCAGAATTTCTTTTAGGCTTGTATATAAGAAAAGGAGAGAGTAACCAACCTATGAATGTTGACAGGGAGTTTTGTGGTCATGCTTGAATTTTAGTGTCATATGTCCCAGTCCAACTCTGAAGAAGAAATGGGTTTGCTGATCGCCTAAGCAGGCTTTACTAGTATTCAGTTAAATATATAGATAATATTTTTAGACATAATGATAAATTAGATAAATGATATATCATCTTTTATAGATGTATATATATGTATACACTGTGTCTATATATTTTAAGTTATCTTCCCATGTATTGCATACATTCATCATGTCTTCAGAAGAACCAATACACAGGTCAGTCAGTTGATACACTGAGGAGATTCTCCCTCATATCATCCTGGGCACTTCACTGAAGCAGGAATAGGGTCACTACAGTAATTCTTCCTTTCTGAATGGGAAACATGAGAGGCAGAGTAGTCACTACTCCAAAGTAATTCTTAGATTCCAGTGGGAATATACTATATTGACCTTCTTCCTTGAAGGTGTAAAAAATTGATTAGGCCCAGATTTTTCTCTTTAGAAGGACTTGCTGGTGATGCCCCGTTCTGCATAGCCTCTGTTCCACCTCCTGGGAAGCACCCCTGCCATCGTCATTCTCTTGTGCCATACCTCCACTGGGTCCTCCTTCAAGGTAGCACAGGTTCATTATTGTTGTCTCTTGCATTAGTGGAATTCTTTCCTATTTAGCCTCAGTAAATTCTATGTCATTAAACATTCATAAAGTGTTTTGAAGACACAGATTTCAAATGGTTTTTATTTCTTTGCTTTTCTGCTTTAATTTATCTAAGGTTTGACTTCATGCCAACCCCCATAGGCTGTCTGGAATAATAGTTATGAAACTTACCTCTAGCAAGATCTTTGCCTTGAGTCACTTCTTTCACCTGAGAAATTTTGCTCGGCTTTGTCTTCATTACTTTTTTATTGTTTAAAATAATGTTATGTTTCAGTATTTGAGTGTTCATAATCAAATTATTAACACTAGAAAGCATGAAATTTCTAAATTTTTCAGTGCACTTTCTTTCCTTATAAACTGCTAAGTTTTGTCTCTAATCTCATGTTTTTCTTGTATTACACTAATGCTCTGATTCTTGAAAATATGTATGTAAATGTTCGCCTTAGTTAAAAATTTCTCACCTACATATGCATTACTATTAAATGATCTTTTTTCTTCTCCCCTCCCCTCTTCTTTCTTTCTTTTCCTTCCTCCTACCCTCCTTCCTTCCCTGCTTTCTTTTCTCCTGTCTATCTTTTCTGTGCTGGGGATCAAAATCATGACCTCCCATATGTTATCCATGCACACAACCACGAAGCTAAAACAAAGCCCTACATCAAATTCTTAATTAAGATAAATGTTAAATTTCTCTTCACATGTCCTATAGACACAAAATTGGCATACAGAACAAAAATAAATGATACCATGTTCTATGCTAAAGCACAAAACTTTCAAGAATATGGTTTAGAAATAGAGCTTGAGTATCTTTTTAGAATATATAGTTATTTTGCTCTTTTATATATTAGTTTTCTAAGTCTATATATATCGTCATAGTGTTTGTAATTTTTTTAAACTTCATTTCCTCATTGAAGCTTTATTTTCTCATTGCTTCAAACTTTATTTTCTTCATTTATACAGCTTTCTTATTTAAGAAGACACTCAGGGAACAGTCTGGTATCCAAGTAACCTAACAAAGCCAATTTGTGGATGTCAGAAGAATTATCTCTCTTCAAAAGTGATCAAAGATGTCTAGGCTTAAAGAAAAAAAAATGAGTCAGAATTATGCTAAGCTCAAACAATCTAAAATTCTTATCAAATTTTCTTTGCTCAATTCAGATACATTACTTATGAAGCTACCCATTTTTAAAATAAATGCCAAGTCAAGAAGATTTTTCTCTTTTTGCACATTTTGGTATTATAGAATATAAATTGGCTTTGAAGAAACTATGAAAGTCAGACAGGATCTCCAAATTGATCTCCAAGAATGTGAAAAATGCAAGGATTAGGAAAGTTAAAGAGACCCAACACCAAAGAGAATGTGAATGGTTTTATCTAGATCACTTTTTGCTTTACCTACCAGCGATTTCAGGAGGAAACTGTATGTAATACCAGTTTACAACTTCATCTTACATAAATATGTATATACTTAATGTGACCTATATATCCCAATAGATGTTAAAGTTATCAATGTATTGATTGTCATAGACACAATTCAGAGGAATACAATTCTTATTGAACTTTCTCTTTAGGAAGGCTACAGAATGTTAAACATATATTGAAATTAAATTAAGAAAACAAGTCACCAGTTTTTAAAAATTAAAGCTGTTTTATTCTAAAATTAGCTAATGTTGAGGGCTGGGAATTTAGCTCAGTGGCTCTGCCGCTTGCCTTGCAAGCGCAAGGTCCTGAGTTTGATCCCTGCTACTAAAAATGAAATAAAATAAAATTAAATTAACTAATGTTTGATTTCTCCCCATTGATGCTCTGTGATAAATAAAATGTTAGTTTATAAGCTTTTTATTTTTGTTTTATCTCAATTCATGCTTGGACAGTGAACAAATATTAATTTTCAAAGTTTCTACCTTTATGATATCTTCATAGTCCTAAGGGAAAAATAAAAGCAAGGTAAAATTCTGAAGGTCAAACCAGATACAGAAAAGTAGGCATAGTCTAAATCCATTTACACAAAACACTAAATGAGTCCAAATTAACCTATATTGTTAGAGTTTGAGATGTTGGTTACTTTAGATGGGGGATGGGAAGAAACTGGAGAGAAGCACAAGGCATGTTGGGAATGCCTTGTTCCGTGGCCTGGGTATAGAATATTATATTCATTTGTGAAAATGTATTGAGCAATATATCTGTCATATGTGCCCATTTCTGTATGCATATTATTATTTTGGTTCAATGAAAACATTTTAAAAATTTGAACCATCTAATAGGCAATAGAAACATAGAAGAATATGATGTTAAATTAGCCCAGTCTACAAAGCTCTCTGAAATAGGAGCCAAGAAAGTATTTGTAAAAAGCCAAGGCATACTTGTAAAACATCTTTTAATCTTGACTTTGTTGGATTAATACAGCAATGTTAAATATTATTTTTATCAGTCATGGAAAATACAGAGAGAAGGAAAATGGCATTAAATCACAGTGCAAGTAAGCTGGAAAAATTAACCTTGTTCAGAATTCTACTAGATAAATTTAACAATATTCTTTCTCTGTAGTTATAAAATAGCATTCAAATGAATTTTAAAATTCAAAAGGATCATATGCAAAGAAAGAATCAATTAATGGTAGGATTCTAGGTCAAAGTCGATCCTATAATTATTTTCTCATTCATGGTCCTAATCAGTTGGAGATCTAGGCCAAATCAACAATTTTCCAACATTTATCCTACATTGTACTCTTTACTGTCAGAAGATCCATTTGTAAGAGATGGTACATCTCTTTGCTTCCTAACAGAGAGAAAAGAAGAATATTCCTGCTCAGCGAGCCAAGGGGTCCAGTGGGGAGTACTCTGCCACTGCTGACAGCCCTCCACCATCTATGTCCTCAGTTATGAAGAATAACCCACTCTATGGTGACTTAAGTTTGGAAGAAGCTATGGAAGAAAGAAAAGAAAATCCTTCATGGACTATTGAGGAATACGACAAGCATTCCTTGTACACAAACCTCTCTGAACATCTAAAGGTACTTAAGACAGAATCACCCTTTTAATTAGTGAGGAAAGTTAGGTAACCCTCAAAGTGTTATTGAGATGATGAGAGGCACTCTTCACTAAACACAAAATCTCCAGATTTCAGGTCATATTGGCCCTTGGCTTAACCTTTTCCCTCCTGTTTATTTGATATAGAGAGGGATAAAATGTTGTGGCATAGAATAAAGATTTTCTGGGCAAAGTTTTTTACAACTCATTTGCAAGATTACGTGTTTTCCCAGAGTATGTAACCATTTATGTTCATGAACACTTTAGGACTGATTTCTTACTATAGATTTTTAAAAAAAATATATAAACTGTGTTCAGTTTTAGGAACTATGCAAAGAAGTGCTTAACAAGATAATTTTTATATCAAGCCTATCCAGTGATTTAAGATCATAGATTGACGTTTTGGTCATTTTCCTGTGTCTCAATAACAAAACAAAACAAAAACATTTCAACACAGGACAAATATGCAATGAACTCATTCAACCGGCTTAAACCCAACTTGTTTTTCTTTCTTTCCTTTCCTTTTTTTCTTGTTTTCGTCCCCCAAGTCTGTTACTCGTGCATGAAAGACCTAGAAATACCTGAAAAGCAGAGAGGGAGGCATTCTGTTTTTGGAAAGGACCAGATTCTTAACCAGCCTTGGCTTGCCTCCACTTGCCTCAGGGTGAGAAGTCTGACATTTTCCAAGTACCTTTCATTTTAAAACATGTATCTGTTCCAAGTCTAATTCTTTCAGCACCTGAGGATTTTTTTTTTTTTTTTTTGGAATGGGATAATACCATTTCCTTCAAATTCTGAAACACATGCTTCTTAAAATCTTAAATGTTCACACCTCAAACTATTCTATAGTGTTGGGCTGAGGATTTAGCTCAGTGGCGCTGTACCTGCCTCGTAAACATAAGGTCCTGAGTTTGATCCCCAGTACCAAAAAAACAAAAATCCCACAAACAAACAAAAATATTCTATAGTGTATAATATAAGATGTTTTCTAAATCTCATACTTTGAATGTATTTCTTTCTTACTGTAGTGCCTTTCTAAGAGGTTTACAAAACAGATGTTCCTGAAAGAAACAATTATCATGTGTTTTATTTTCCTTCCTTCCCTCTTTCTCTCCCTTTTTTCTTTTTATTTCTTTTATCTTCTTGGTCTCATCAGGAAGCTTAAGATCAAGACTTCTAAGTCTACTATTTGAAAAAATAAATTGTGTTGCTTTACTTCCCACATATTCAAACATCGTTTGGCAATATATTTCTAAGGCATCTTCCCTTGCCTTTGCTGTTTATGTTCATGACAAGGAAATTGTATAAGTAAAAGTATGTCCCTGCCTTCCAAAAGTTCAGCTAAATAAGAAAATTAGCAACACTAATTATAGAACCAGATATAGGAGCATGTCTGCAATTATAGCAGGAGATTTGAATTGGAAAGATTTGAAAGGGGGAAGTCACATCAGATTATAAAAAGTCTTCATGACAAAGTTAATTCGTAGTGAGCTTGAAGGATATGTGAGATGTAGAAGGTTTGCCAAAGTAGAGAGGTTTTTCTGGCTTGCACAGCAAGAGCAAAGGTAGAGCTGCAGGAAAGTGAGAGAATTTGTGAAAACACTCAGCACAGTTTAAGAATAGTGGGAGGAAGGCTACAAAACTGACAAAAAGAGAATGTGTGACAATGTGGGTGATGGGGAAGTTTGATTAGTGGATACTAAGGTGTGTTTAGAAGAAAGCATCCTTGTCCATGTTGTGTTATTGTACAGCAGTGTGACAACAGATGACAGTTCCATTCTGTGTATTTCACAAAGCTAGAAGAAAAGATTCTGAATGTTCTCACCATAAAGACATGTCAAATGTCTGAGGAGATAGATATGCTTAACCTGATTTAAACATTATAGTTTTTATGTTTGGGTTATAAAATGAGTTTAATTTTCAAAAGCTAAAAAAACAAATTTGAATGTTAGGCTAAGGAAATTGAAGAATTATTTTTTTAGGCTGAACAATATCTTTAGGAAGACAGAATCTAGCTCTAATGGATGCATTATTTTACTGAAACCAATGTCTGTCTTGTCCCCTACCCAAACCTCTGTGTTCACACTCATTTGTATCAAAGCCCAGGATCTTCAGGCCTGCAGCCCATTCATTAACTTCTGAGGGAACCAGTAGTTAAGATAAACATCTGGAACCCATGACTTCTGTTTTCATTAGAACTTTGCTCTATAACTCATTAATTCAACTTCTCTATCACCACTTCTATCTTTATCTCATAATTAGTAAACATATTCCCTAACACATTTTCTGAAATTTTGATGTAACTTACAGGCTATTAATGTTGCAAATGCCTCACTCTGTTCTTATTTTTCTAAATTGTTAAGATTTTAAGTTAGAAAAGAGAAGCCCCATATTTAATTACCAAAGCAAGCTAGAAGCAGCATGTAAGAGAGGAAAGTCTCCATTATGAATTTTTTAATGGAGAATAAAAGCATTAAACTTGTAGGCACAATGCAGGCTTCTGATTTGGACACAAGAAAGATGAAAAGATGAGAGTAAGGTAGACAAGAATTTTTAAATCCTTCTGCACAAGCCATCCAAATTTTATTGTAATAGTTGATTATTTCTATAACCAGGAAGTTCAAGCTTCAACCACTACAATGGAAGGAGTGTACCAGCCTTGGGAAATCCACCACAGCTCCTTGCTAGCATGCATATTCCTCCCCTACCAGTGCATCTATAACCCTGAAGCTAGTTCAGTGACTCTTGAGGCTGGCAGCTATGGAAAGGGGCTGTGCCACACTTCCAGCTGATGCTAACTCCACTGAGACTAGAGAGGGTGGGTAGCCTGCTTTGAGCCCTTGTATCGTCCAACTGAGGAACAATGAGGGCTGAAATGGCTTTGTCCCAATTGCAGTTCAGCATTTCCTGTAAATTTCTGGTATACCTACCAAATGCTGGCCATAGATACTGAAGCCTGAAACACAGCATGAAATGATAAAAGAGTAACTATCTAATTTTGTATGGACAGTGGAGTTTAGAAATGCTTTACAGGAGAGAATATTGGCCAAAGGGTAATTCTCTAGTACTGAAGGAAAATGAGGCCCATGACAAGAGACGTGGAACATAGTTGCTGATATGGGGCATATATTAGGTCTTTTCTTTAGGAGGTCAAACAGGTCCACAGTCTCAGCATGGCAGACACACCACAACCCTCCACCAGGAAGACCAGGAATTTGAGATTCATGGAAGAGACTCTTGACACCTAGTCTTATTCTGTCTTCCTGAAAGTCAGCTTCTGGGTTTACTGGAAAACTCACTAAACGTGCTTATTCCTGCCATGCAGACAAAATCAAACCTCCAAGGTTCATCTAAGGCAAGGAATTTTAATTCTATTTTGGCTCACTAACCTGATTTACATGCACTATTTATAAGAGGTAAGAAATAAAAAATTGGCTAAGAGATGACAGAGTCATTGTGGTGTTTCTGACCTTCCAATGTGACCGATTTAATAAGGAATTGGTGCAGGCCTCCTAATGGGTTCTGACACAGACTTGCACATTAACTGCACATATCCCTTGGCAGCCAGGGGCAGCAGCAGCACACAGTGCATTCAGAGAAGCCTGGCCTCTCTTATTTCAGCTGTGACACATAAGCCACACCCAGAACAGTTTGAATGTGAGCCTTCAGGATGTCTGACACTATCTTGTTTTCCAGTCTCAGTTTGTAACACTGATCACAGATTGATGATACCATATTCTCTATATAATTTTCTTTTAGGAAAATCCCAATGACCTACGGTTTTGGTTGGGAGACATGTACACACCGGGTTTTGATACCTTATTGAAAAAAAAAAAGAAGCATGACAAGCGGACAAAATTATGTCGCATGGGTTTGATTTTACTCCTCCTTGCCTCCATTTTGGTTACCATAGTTACTATCAGCACTTTGTTTACCTAAAAACTGCCATAGACAGAGCCACTTTCAATTTTTAAAACAAGTTTTATAAATATTTGCAAGAAAAAAGTGTTCATGCAGTGTCAATGTGCTGTTGATTGTACAATTAAGTGTAATTGTCCTGTAGAAAGTGAACTTTGCTTGTGATATGCCCTGCTTCGGTCTCTGAAACCTGTGTATGAATTCCAGCCTTCTTTTGGGAACCAGCGATGTTGAGGATCACAACCACAGAAAAGTCACTAGACAAGAAAAACTAAACATCTATATATAGAGAAGAAAAGCATCAGTGATTATCAGCAGCATTGTCTCAATACTCAAACCATATTCACCTTGCTTTTAAAATACCATTAATTCCTTTCCACCCCTCCCACCTGAAGGCACTAAGCAAGACTGAGCAGATCGTTTGGGGACCAAGTAGGGGGGACCAAGTACCAGGTAGACAAGCTAAAAGCTTTCAGTTGTGCTGTCAGTTGGTTTGTACTTATTCCCTGTTTTATCTCCCTTTATTACTAAGTCAGAAAGGAAAAGCAGTGTTGGGAGAATTTGCTCAATTTTCTTCTTATTTTCTCAGTATCTTTTATAATACCCTTAGTGTTGCAATTTTAGCAGTACTAAACTTGAACAGGTCATAGTTATATGGTTAATTATATTTTGATCCAATTGTGCTTATTAATTGATCCAAATCATCTAGTGTGACCTCAGATAGAGGTCAGTGAGAATATGTCACCAGCCATGGCCCAGGTGGAGGGCCCTAGAAAACCATGAGTCACTGTCAAAAGAATGGGTTTGAATCCTGACCATGCAATTTATTAACTATTGGACCCCAAGCAAGATATTTTCTCAGAGAAGGTATAACACTACTTCCCCAGTAGAGCTGGGTAAGACTAAATAAGAAACAAGTGAGAACAATGCCAGCCTCCCAGGATATAATTACTATTACTAATTTATGTTAGCTCACTGGAGTCCTGGGTTGATGTTCTGTTGTCTGCAGATAACAGGGGTCAGTGTTCTGGATACAGATCATTAAACTACTTCTTTTCCCTTTCTCCTAAAACACCCTTCCCTGAGGCCCTCATTGCCATTCCTTTCTCTTCCTTAGAAGATACCACACCCTACAGCTGTCTTGTGCATAAAACAAAATAGGGACTTTGTTAGCCTAAAGTATGCTTGTGTTTCTTGATTTTGCCATATTATTTTGTATATTTCTCTTAAAACATATTTAAAATAAAGTACATTAAAGTACAGCTTTACTGGACAATAAAGTCATTGTGAAAAAAAAAGTCTTAATCTGCTTTGCAGTCCCTGACTTCTTATTTCTCATTTCCTCTATGGTGGATTCTAATCTCTCCAAACAGAGGAGAAATAAAGTATTTGCTGTCCTCTTGAGGGAAGTCCACTCTCATGGTGAGCATGTCTGAGATGTCACTTGGGATAACTCTGTCATAAAAGCTTCTAGAGCCACAGCACATTGAAACCTGTGCTACACCCAGGATGCATGTGTGTTGCATTGGGTTACATGTGGCTGGCTAAGACAATGTTCAGGTATGGCTTGCTAAACAAGTAGGAGTAACTACAGAAGAATGAAGCCTGCATACTGGAGCTCCTAGAATGCCCTGTCCCCATCTCATTACTTTTAGCTTCTTCCCAGTCAAGCACGCAGGATTTTTCCGCTCTCTCTAGCCTTCCTCTATTCTTACTTATGATGCTATCAGTCATTTATTTTTCAGCACGAATGAGTTTACAACTTGCTATTGCTCCAAAGTCTATCTTCATTTTTAGCCTTCAATATAACTATGAATCAAAGTGTACTACCGTCCTTCATTGAATTAATGCTGGGCATCTAAATGTGAGCAAAAGTCAGAAATACAGATACTACGATCTTGTTTGCACTCAAAATCATACCTAGCATGCAATTCTAATTTCCTCTTCACTATGGTTTTTGCTAAAATGGTTCAAGCAGAAAAAGCAAAAGGCCATGGAAAATACAGAAATGATGACTCTAAATAGGCTTATATTCAAACTTTGGATTTCTTGGAAGTCTCTGATCCAAGTTCAATGAGCTAATGTTGTTAAAGCACTTAAATACAATCCTTGGCAGATAGTAGGTGGTCAATAAATAATAACTCATTGTCTTCCACACTGGCTATTGTATTCTTGCTTGTTTATTCTAAATTGGAATAAGAAAATCTGAGTTTTATAAATTCTTAATAATACTAACATTTTAAAATAATAATCTCCCCCACACACCTCATCAAAAATTTTATTTTTATGTTGTTTTATTTTTGTATATTAGGTTAGGGTGCGCAAAGCCTAAAATCAACCAGTATGTGAAGTGTTCTAGAAAAAAAGAATTCCAACTGTGCATACTTCTTCAAAAGGCTGCTCTCATATTTATTAGAAGGACTAATTTTTTTCTCATAATCCACTCAGCACCTTTCCAATTGCATTCTTGTTACTGTCACCTAGCGGAGAGTTTAGTGAATAGAAAACAAGAAAGCTTCTCTCCTGTACCATTTATCTGGAGTGCATTGCTGCCATCTGGTGTTTACATTATTATGCCTGCCTTTAATCCACAAGAAGTATTTACCAAGGGGAAATTTTGCACTTTAGGCCTAATTTTGCCTCTGGGATTAGGATCACTTTGGTAGGATGGTCAAAAGCTCTTGCCTGTCCTTTGAAGCCACTAATTTTGATGCCTTCTCATCTTGCCAGGAAAGAGCTATAACTTGGTGCAAGTCACAATGACACTCAAAACCAGAGCTGGAACTTCAATGTAAAATCCTGACTCCACTACACATTATATACTAGAAAGCTGAAGCCACAAGTTTCCTTAGAGATGGTTCCGTTCCTACATAATCTCTTCAAGTAGGTTAACATTTTAGAAATACAAAATAATTTACTACTTGCTTAAGATTTGGCATGGGTTTTTGAATTTCTACATTGCTAACTCTACTGGTAATGGCTTTAAATATGATTTTTAAATTTCTTTTCTTCCCCTACTGAGTGTTTAGCACCAGTTTTGAAATTCTTCCCACATATAATTGAATACAGTTTAATCATACATGTGAAATAATTTTTAAAATTCTAAAGTGATTAAATCTCAATCCTTTTAACCGTCTACATCCACACCCACAGTCCCACAGTCTGTGCTTTTTAGAGTAACTTTTTTGGTTCCTGCCAAATATTCACTTAGTTCAAGCTTTGGCCTAACTTGAGGTGAGAATATTCAACCAAAGTGAACGCCTTCAGAAACTGAACACACTTTCTGCCAGAGCCCTTGTTCTGCTTTCGTTTTATGGATGCTGTGACTCATGTACTTGATCACATTTCCCTCTCTGCACAGACTGCTGGAAAAACTGAGGATGGAACTGCAGAGCTCTCTTTTAGGAAGTGTACAGGACTTCCTATTGGGCACTGCATGTCCCATCCTCACTTATGGGTCCTCATCATAATCTGACTTTGCATCACTTTTCTATATGGTATTTAATATTGTTCATTTTTTCTCTATGTCACAAACCTATAGAAAATGTACTGAGTATATAAGGATAATATAGGGTATAAATAAGATGACATGTCTGTGTTTATAATAATGCACATATACATATATAAAAACCAAATGCAAAAAATTACCATTCAAAAGAAAAAATTGAAATTAAAAGCGTATCTTTTAAATAATTATTTAAATGGAGTACTGCTCAGCCATGAAGAATGAGAAACTAGAGACATTTATAGCTAGATGGATGCATATTGAGGCCATACTCTTAAGAGAAATAAGTAGGACACACATGTGTAAATATTGAATAGTTTCTCTAGAGTGAGAAACTGAAAGTGTAAATAAGGATTAAAGTAATTAAAGTGAATAATTGATAATTTGAAATAGGAAAAGTTTCATAGGTGTAGGGGTGGTGAGAGGGAAAGGGGAAAGGAAAGAAGGGAAAGAAAAAATTATGAGAAAAGAAAAGAAATGGAAACAAAATCTATGTAAATAGGGAAGGGTGGAGGGGGTGAAGAGTGCACAGGTAATGGGGAAAAAATAAGAACTAAGATACATCATGTACAGGTACAAGCACCCAATGATAAATGTAAATGTATTGTATACCTAAAATGTACCTATAAAATAATTTTAAAAATAATTATTTAATACATAAAGTGCTATAAGCAGATTTCTTTAGCTAGTAAAAGATTCAAGGTTCACAAAATCTTACTAATACTGTATTTATTGTTTTAAAGTTCCTGACAAAGAGAAGGTAAGAATTCTTGTGTTAATTAAACTTGCTAGTTTTTCTCAGCTGTTAAAAAAATAAAATAAAATCCCTCACATTTGAATTAAGTTCCAAGGTGGGGGTGCTGTTGAGAGAAGTACTTGAATAATAAAACAGTTGCTAGGTCAGATTCAAAACTGTATCAGTCAACCCTGCATAAACGAACAGTGGTTAACTAAACTTCTTTCTAAAAAAAAACTTGTTTTAAAAGCTAAAATATTTAGAATCAATATTTCATAAAATAATTTCACTGATTCTGCTGCCAGAGTTTTCTAATATAATGATCGCAAACTCTTTCATGAATTTTTAACATAGCAAAAGAAACATTTTGCTTATCTTTAACACTTAAATGCACATATTTTAGCACCATCTCCCAAGTTATCCAGAAAGATTCCTGACAAGGATTTTGTCTTTAACCTCATTTTACTCAAACTTCTCTGAGACTTTATGACTAGGCTCTGGATCTTGGGTTCTGTGCTTAGTTGTTTTATTCCAGTTTTTAGGAGCCTTGCTGAATCAATTTGGCAAAAATCTCCCACCGTAGCCTGACCACCTTCTAAATGATATCACCCTGGCCTGCCTTCAACAAAAATCCTCTTAACCCCACCTGAAAGGAAATGCCCTACTCTTAGTAATATTCCACCAGCCAATGCCTGCCCCTGTGCCACATTTCCTTATTATATTTAGAATCAAGCTTCCCCTACTAAACAACAACAGCAAAAATCATTGTAGTAACCACCTCCCCTTGAATAAAATTTTCCCTACTGTCTTTGTCACAAATCTTGGATGTCACAAATCTTTATCATTCCCAGTGGGCGCCCAGGCACAGAAGGGTGTCATGCAGCCCCATACCCCCTGCCTACTCAGCTGAACCTTTCCATCCTAACCTTCATTCAAGATGCCTAGTACTGATACATGCACAAGATTTAGTCATATCTTACACATAATTTCAAAACACTTCTGCTTCTCACTTCTCAATTATCATTTTGTGACATAAGTGTAATAATTATATATTTGAAAAAGACCGAAAAAAGATTGAGACTCAGAGTCATTTAAGACTTGTCAGAAATCAAAACTGAACAGAAATTCTATCTTCTAAACCAGTGGTGGCAAAATTATGGCACACAGAGCCCTCTCTGTCGGCGTGCAAGCTAAGTGCATGAGTTATTTTTCTAAACTAAAACCTCAATATTTAGGTTTAATTGCAGTATTGACATTGCAATAGATACGTGGGTTTGGGGTCGTCGTTTGGGCACTAGATCTCTAATAAAAGGTTCACCATCTCTAAACTTCTGGATGCTCTTCCACTCTAATTTTACTTTTCTGGTGGCTGTAAGGAGGGCTTAGTATACATCAGCTATTGAAAACAGTAGTTTTTCTCCTCTCATCTCCGCCATGAGTGTAGGCATGTGTGTGTTTTACCCTACAATCCAAAAATTTAAGGTTATGTTATTATGTTAATTTATGTCATATGGCTTCTGTGTAAAGTGGAAAGTAAACCATAGATCCCAAGATTAAGAATATTCATGGAGTAATTACTTCTTTTAGTAAACAATGTTGATGGAATGTCTTTTGCTTATTACAATGCTCCTGAGCATAGCATTTGATTTCTCCAACTTCACCTGCTTAGACCACCCCTAATTAGATACCAATCCCAGGAGGTTGATTACCATTGATTTCGGTCAGTATCCTGATACAGAGGAGCTGAGATCAGACCTATTCAGAGGAAAAGGTACCCTGCAGGTCCACATCAGCATCAAAGGCTTCCTGGAGAAGCCCTCAATGCCACTCTCTAATGCTGTCAGGTAAGGCACTGCTCATGAACCTTTTCCTTCTTTGTATACAATGATTTAAAAGAGAAACCTTTCTTAAACTTTGTATTAACTGTGAAATCTATCAGTCAACCAATCAATCAGAA